CCACTCGACGGCAACATATCCAGTGCCCTTGTCTCTTAGCGACAAGGGCGGGGAATGAGCCGTCGTGGAACCGACGACTGCCACGGAGCCGTCCCAGTCACCCATCCAGTTTGGACGGGCGGGACAGAATAGGGCTCCGCGACTACGGCAACACCTATCTGTGCCATGGTTTGCAGGAAGAGATCCTGCGCCGCGGCACAGTGGTTCAGGTTCGTCTGGACCAGGAGGTTGGAGACTTGATCCATTACTGGATCGTCTCTACAACCTCCTCCATGGGCGACGACGTCGACGCACGAACTACATCGGAGGCAGCCTGGGTCGACTGGCTAACCCCCGACGTCTGCCGAGAACTGCGGGGAGGCTTGCAGCCTCTCTGCCCCATCTGGTGATTGGCGGGCTTATTGCCCGCCGCACACACTGGGCAGTGAGGGGCGGCAGAGCATTCTGCCGCCTTATGCCCCGGTTGACCGCAGCGGAAACACAGTCCGCCGCAGGCAAAACAGCTGTCGCACTTGACGCGCGTGTGTCCCGATGCTAGGCATTTGTAGCACCTCATCGGTCTCGCCGCCAGGACTGTGATCCTGGCGCTCACGAAACCGACGAGCAGCCTGCCGGCGTCGGCCAATACTTTGGCCGACGCTACGGGACAGCTGACCCACACGGCGCCAAGCCCTCCTGGACCGGGGCGGATGGTGCCGACCCTGACGTTGTCCGCGCTGCACCCCGTCTTCTCCAGGATTACAGCGCGGACATCTTCGGCCGTCACTGAGTCGTCCAGGCCCGAGATGCGCAGTTCCGCGCACTTGGTAGGCCTGGCGACCCTGACACCATCTGTGGCTGCAAATATTCCCCGCAGCTTCTCTGCGAAGGAGTCCGCCGTCTTTGCGCCTTCAGCCCCAGGGAACTCGAGAACTCGAGCTCCCGTCTGGGCGAGGCGCATCCTGACCCCCACCGTCCCAAACTCGTTGGCGAGGCTGTCCCGGGCCTTTTTGAAGACGGCCGCATAGGACAGCCCGCCGTCAGCCGCCTCCGGGGACACGGTCACAACTACAGCCGCGGTTTTGGGCGGCTGCAGCTTCCGCGGCCTCTTTGCAGAGGCCGTTGCCACCGGTGGCGAAGGCTGGGCTTGGGCTGCTTTTTGGGCAGCCTTTCTGGCCCGCCTTCGGGACTTCTTGGAGCCCCTCGCCTCCTGCCAACCCTCGTTGGAGGGGGCAGGTCCGGAGGGGCCCGGCAGGGGTGTCGGAGTGGGGAGCGGAGGGAATGCCACTCCGCTCCTCGGCGCCGTTTTAGGCCCCGTCTTGGCCGGCGCCTGGGGATGTGCCTTGGCCGGCGCCTTAGCCGGTGCCTTGGCCGGCGCCTGGGCCGGTGCCTTGGCCCCCCTCCTCGGCTTTTGGGGAGCCGATGGAGTCGGGGCAGACGCCGCCGCCGCGTAGGAGACGCGGCCTCCCACTACGGGGAGCGCGGTCGGAGCGGCGGCCTTAGGCCGCTGTGCCGACGCGAGCGGGGGGCGCATAATCGGCGCAGGGGGCAGTCTCGCCTCCAGGCCAGCCAGGCGTCCGTCCAGCATATTCCCAACTGCGATGAGGATTTCTCGCAGTTGGGAGTCAAATGCCCCTGAGTTGGTGGTAGGGGCAGGCTGGGACGCGGACGGGGCTTCCCGCTCGGGGAGGTTCGCCTGGAAGCGGGCGAACTGAGCACTCAGCTCGTTCACCCGCTCCGTCAGCCTCTCGTTGGCCACCTGCAGGCGAGAGACGTCGCCCGCTAGGCCCTCCACGACCTCCGACAAAGCGGAGGAGGAGTCCTTAAGGGCCCTCACAAACGAGCCCTTAAGGTTCACGGATTTGGTGGCCACCTTGTCGATGACGGCCACCGCCGCTTTCGCCCTCTCCTGCACGGACACGGGAGCCTGGGGGGCATTTCCCCCCACCGGCTCCCGAACCTTGAGCAGGAGATCCGCGATCTCCTCCTCCGCTACGGCCTCGCCGTCCACTCGCACGCTCCTGTAGGACTCCGCGTTTGAGAACGCGGAGCCTGACGGGGTCGAGACCGAGGCCGGTTTACGCGCCCTCCCTCGGCGACTGCTTGCCACCTTTGGTGGCATCATTTCGCCGGACGTGTCGGTTTCCACGTCCCCTGAGCGTCCGCGTTTTCGGCTGTCGCTTCGCTCCGCCTCCATGGCCTCCGCGCCATCCGAGGAGACGGCGGATCCGGAACGAATACGATCCGATGCTCTTCGGCTCCCAGAGACCAGCGTCAGACTGACTTCTGGGAGCCCCATCGAGATAGGCGTTCCCGACGCTATCTCACCCTCCGTGGATGACCCATCCACTCCACTATTCCTCCTCTTCGTCTCCTTGTCCGTTAGGCTTGCCTTTGTCTGTTGTGTTTTTTTTCCGATCGTTTTCTTTTTGGTTAAATTAAGTTTTTCCATAATAATCCCACGAGTGGGGGAGAACTAAAGGTCCACCCGGGCAGAGATCCCCCATTACCCGGGCAAGCGTAAGTTTTTAACCCAACCCAGGGGTCCGCAGGTACCTCGGCTTGGAGTGCGCTCGCGACTGAACTTCCCATCAGCCATGCATCCCCTGGCCACGCACCAGAACACGGGATTCGGGGAATTTTTTAGAGAGGTTATCTTCCTCGCGGTCCGGGCGGTTAAGCCAAGACCCTCGACCCCGATCAGAGCCGCGAGACTTAACCACAGCGCTCTTCTCGGGATTACGATATGCCGACGGTTGACAGGGAGACTACGTCCCCCTGCCTGCTCGGTGGTAGTGTGAGTACACGCCGAGCCCGTCCTCCTTTCTCCACCGCTGTCAGCGGAGAAACTGTGGCCCCTACAGGGCCCCGCCATCAGGTTTTTTACCGAGGTTTCCTCCTCCATGCTCCGAAGAGCGAAGGGCCAGCAGGGCAACCGGCAGACACGCCCACCCTGCTGGACCAGGCCTTGCCCGAGAGCCGATGAACGGCTGCCTCTTCTGCTAGAATATTGGCCGCTGGCGATAATCCTCTCCTCCAAGAGGACAAGGAGGGAACAGTACCATCGCCAGCGTTTCCAGGGTGCACCACGAGGAGGTTTTCTAGCCCAGCACCCCTGCTGAACATAGACCTGCCCCAAGGTTCAATACAACAACCGGTCCTATACTACCTGCATCCAACGGCTTCCCGCGGCTTTTTTAACCTACCCATGCTAAGTTTTCCAAGACGACACTCAAGAACTTGAGGTTCAGTAATTTCTACCTGCAGCTTCCAAAAAAGTTTTTTAATAACATGCAATATTATATACTAGATTTATTTTAGTTACAATAAACAAAAGAAGGAGGTTTAAGAAACCAGGAATAAACACATCGAAATGTCAAAGAAGTTTTTAGAAAAAATTTAATAAAGAAGTTAGGTAATATTTCATAATTTATCATATTCAAGTTTTTTTTTTTCGAAGAAGTAGTGTATTTATTAAAGGTAGTTAATAAATAATTATCCAATTGACAAACTAGAATATGTTGTATTGACCTAAAGTAATGCCGATGCTAAACTATCAAAATATTAAAAAAAAAAAAACAAAAAAAAAATATATGTCAAATATTGTGTGATGAGCACGAGCACATGTATAGGACGATCGTTCGACGGATAAGGGTGTGAGAGAAAATACTTATCAACTTGTTGTTGTACTCATGTCTCATAAAAACCAGTTACTGGAGCGAGCTATCAGTAGTTATGTCACATCCTGTCTTAACACATATTGCCACTAAATCAGATAAGACACGTTTACGTAGACCTCTTTAAGAGTTAATGTATTTCAAATTTGAATATAAAACTTTTTGAGATTAGTCAGTTTTCGGAATAAGTTACATGTAGAAATACCCTGTTACCTAAATATTTAGTGTCTTACTACATGCTCACCTAATTTAGAGTTGGTCTACGGTACTTATCAAAAACAAAAGTGCTATAAATTTAAATGTGTTATTTATAAATAGATAGATAAGTATTTTATAACTTTATGAATAAACAGGTATTCATCTACCTTTGTCTAAGATCGGGTCTAATCTACTTTATTTAAATGAAACGGTACAAGTTTCTTTTATAAGTTGCTGTCATTTAAATAAGAACAAGGCATGTATTTGTAATATGATTTGTGATATTAGTTATGTGTATACTTAGTTTTTAATACAAGTATTATACTTATAAAAGCTAAACTAAATTTAGTGAGGGGGCCATGATTCGGCACACATGGTGATACAACGACGGCTTCACAAAAAGCCGGTGTAGAGCAATTCTTTCTTTGCTTTTCACTGAGCCTATTAGGTTACCGGGGCCCAAATCACAACCTGGTTGGAGAGAGAGCTCAAAAAGCGTCTCTGTCGAAAGAGTGCACTCTGCACTTGGGTCTCAGATGTCTAAGGGGGGCCAAGTGGTAGTCACTTGTCATCAGATGACCCGTCTGCTCGTTTGCCCTCTTTGTTATAATAAAACCTGACCTTGAACCAATGAGTTCTGTTCACTTGTGGATACCTAACTGTACAATTATACCGGCAACCAAAATTAACATAACAAAAGTCAACCTTTGATACCACCTACTAGGCTAGGTAGACTTGCATTGCTTTATAATTTACAAGTGTAAAACACGTGAAATTCGAATCGTTATTATTATTTTAGTTATTTATAAAAAGTTGACTTATTGAAAATGGCATTTCGGATTAACGATATAATTCGTTGTTTGCATCCCAATTAATCATGTAATATTATTTTTAGGCTTATCTTAATGCTTTTATTTAACATAAATATCCACTGAATAATTACTCAGACCCTATCTGCTGATGAGAATTCTATACGTTCATTGGATCTAAATGTGCCCTATCTCGTTGCAATTCGCTGCATTCATTACTATGATACTTTTAGCCCCTTCCCAGGACAATGCGATTTAGTTTATATAATAGCACGTACTAATATACAATTCAAAACAACTAAGTAATTGTCATTAAATAAAGTTCGGTTGTACGTACCTTCATGAAATCACTAACGTAGTTCCCCATACAAAAGGTCATGTCACCGATGTCATTAGAACCACTTCCTAGATCGTTTTCTAATGATGGCTCGCAACTGATGGGTGGCAAGTTATCCAGCATATTGCAGCGCGACACATCCTCGTCAGTCTCCATACCTGAATGAACAAAAAGTTTTTAAAAATTCATCATTTCAGTTCTTTCAGTCACTTCAATTTCACTAATATAAGGTAAGTATTGTATATTATAATTTTAAACCACTACCTATATACCACATTTAGTGCTACGAGCCCTAGTTACATATTACTTAGCTCTCAGCTTTCTTTGTATCTAATAGCCTAAGATCCGGTTGCAGAATCAATACACTCATCGAGTATGTGCTAAAAACCCTTTACGCATATTTATGATTAGGAGATTATATATCTACCAGGTTGCCTATCAAAATTTGGCCGCTAGTATTTTTAATTAAATTTTTGTTAATTGATTTTTGAGAAAACATTTCGTTCACTTGTTTTCAATAAATATCGTCCACTGCACGGCAATATATATAAAGGCTGAATAATCACGGTTGCCGATGCTCAATCGGCCGCACCTCTTCGCAGCCAGATGTAAACAGGTATGATTTTGAGACATTTATACGTTTTTACAAAATTACGCCACAAATTAAAAAAAATGATTTCAATAAAAACATATCAAAGGATGACAAAAAAAATATCGACCTATAAATCACAACACTATCGTGCCGTCATTAGACAAAGACAGCTATTGCAATTTACGTAATGAGTGAAAGGGACATGTCAAAAATACATCAACGGGTTCTTAATTGTTATCACTTTGCACTAATATAAGTTGAAGTCTGGTCTGGTTGAACACATGGGTATCGAATGAGCCGACTGAGGGAGCAAACTACGCAGGGCAACAGCACTGCAAAGTGAAGGAAAACACTGACATAAACCCTATAACAACTCGTCTGGCCTGCGTGGTGAGGTAAGCCAAAACCTCCTTCCTAAGAAGAGGCATATATCCAGAGAGGGCTATTAAGGGCTGTTGATGATGATGATATTCTACATACTGTCAACAGAAAGTTTATCTAATACGTTCGTTATGTGTTTAAATACTGTATGTAAATACTGTTGTTATTTATCTCTATCTAATGCTTGTCTTGCAACGATCGCTTTCACCGATAAGACCGTCCGTTGTACCCAAATTTATAAGATAAGAATTAAAGTGAATGTTATTGATTATTTACAATTAAGGACAAGAAGTATATCAAACTGCTACTAATGCTGTCTTTCTGTCCGTAAACATGTAATTATTTTTTATGTGACATTAATAGCGTCCACAAATATTAATTCTAATTACATCTTGGAGGAAGGGGGGTAATGTCCCTCTAACACAAGGCGTGGATCCTGCGTCCAGGCGAGATGTTCATCACTGGCAGACCGTGGCCGAACGGTTGATGTCGGGAAGTAGATGGATAGAATGAGCTTTTTGGTCCTGAAAATTCCTATTGGAGCAAGTTTTGGAACGATCTCTCGATCGAAATGTGGTAGAGAGCTAAAATTTGTATATGTTCTCAGTGTTGTAGTCCTATAAGTACAGTTAAATTTTCAGGTCAAAATGTTGTATACTATATGCAAACCGTCGAATTTTGCAAAAAGTGACCTTTTTTTCAAGCGATTGGGAGATTTTAATTTTTGAAAAAACGTTATAATTTTGGCACCTAGGTATTAAGGAGGAGTTTAACTACAAATATTCACATATTCAGATCATTTGATAAATAAACATTTGTTTAAATAGTCAATAAAGAACAGATACAGGCGCGAGTGAAAGTGGCAGCCACCTTAGTCTAGTCGACGTACTTCTGAATTTGCAAAGAAATGATGACCAAGGATGTTTCTATGACATTATACGTATTTCAGTGTCTTGATTGGTCAATGTTAAGCTTGTATTTATAAGTTTATTTCACTTTTGACTGCACGGATGGCGTAGTGGTTTAAGGGGTCGCTACGCCGCTTCCTACTACGCCGAGTGTTGTGGGTTCAAACCCCACATGGGACGACACTTCGTGTGATCCACAAATTGTTGTTCTGAGTCTTGGTGTTCTTTGTGTCCGTTTCATGTATGTTTGTAAAGTCCCCCGTGACACAGGATATATTCCTAACGCGGGAGTTGTCTTTTAAAAAAAAAACTCATATTTCGTTAACCGTTTCTTTCAGGTTTTTTTCGCTAGTCCTGTCTAAAGTTATATAAAACCGTTCATTGCCCGATTCAGGATTAGTAATTACTCCGTAGTTCGGTGTGTCTTCCTTAGAAGCTATTGCATTATGTTTTATCGCTGTACGTGGAAGTCGCCACAACGTGTACGAATTCAACCAGCCACCGAAGATATAACAAGGCTTTGTTTTCAGACGAGGTATTGTAAAACATCTTCTGTTTACCAAAGAATGCCTCAAAATATGGGCGATTCCAATGGTGGCAGATACAAGAACGTCAGTTTCAAATTAGTTATAGTTGTAGCTTTAAATGGAGCGGTACCATCATGTGTTATCGGTAAATAGAACAGGCTCATTTAGGAATAAAATTTTGTAACGTCAATTAATCAAGTCATGGCACAATGCAACCATGGCGGGGACATATCGGACGAAGCCAGTCACCGCCAGCATTGATCGCGGCAATGCCAGCATTGACGGCGGAGTGACGAAGGATGGGCAGCCGCGGTCTCGTTCTGCGAGGACGTCATGCTTCAGAAGGAGGCCGCAGAGTGGGATCTTGAGAAGGTAGATTCCGCCCAGGTACGGCAGGGAGAATTCCAGAAGTCGCCGATACGTCGTTCTTGGAGCTTCTCCCGACTGCCGACGTAGGCAGCCGTGGGGCTTAGTGGGTAGATCGGTTCTCCGGGAGTCTTACACACGCCCTCCATTTCCCCAACGGAGGGTAAAAAAATAACTTAAATTAAAAAACCTATTAGACATAATGATACTTGTTTATCATTTAGATTTATTTTCGTTGGATCCCAGTTTAATATTTTTAGCGTTGGACTTTACAAAACACATACAATAGAAATACATAATGTACTGTGGATCAAAACTTTCAGAATTCCAATTGCAGAATCCCCAATTTCAAAAGCATTAGTAAAATGGTGTCATTTTTTGTGTTTTGATTATAATTTATATTTTGTGAGAGTGAAAAGAGGAATTACTACTTCTGCTACTCAAGGGACACCGGGAGAAACTCATTACTTTCCTTACCCAACAAAAATCTAACTTACCCATAACATATAATCTGAATCAGTGAATTGGTGGCAACAAAATTTAAATCTACTTCAATTTAAGTTTACTTTTATAAGTGAAGTAAAAAGACTCGGCAGATAAGAGCAATACGATAGATCCGTGGGAAAACCACAACTGTAATGACGTGTCATTTTATTAAAATACTTGCTTTCGGTCTTTGTAATCAACATAGTCCTTAAAACACTTTTTACACCGAATACGTTTGATAAATGCAATTAAATAAACACGAAAAAATAATTGAAATGAAATATGAAAAATGTAGGTACGAAATTCATTTCGTACCAACATTTTGCAACGTAATGTTAATTAATAGGTCAAGTAACATTGTACTGATAACTACGTTATCGTAAGTCGAAAGATTATGTTTACGCTTCACCAAGCAGAACATATTCACAGAGTTCAAGCTTGGGATAAAAGAAGTACACGTATTTATCAAAGTAACGAAGCAAGGTTCGACGTAATCCATGTAATTAGTTGGTCGATATTCGACCATAATTAATTCATTTAATTTTTAAGTTTGAACTTTATTAGGGTCCTTTATCTATAATCAAATGTTTATCATATATTATATTTATTATGAAATTCACCTACAGTTTGACCATAGATTTTGACAATGAACAAAAGAGTAAGTGTGGTATCTATGTATGTTTATGTGTATATTGTGTGTTATTCAAGCAGTAATGTGTGTACTGTTTATTTTAATTAATTTAATGTATTTCCAATCCACTTTATACAAATAGTTTTATGCATTTCTTCTCCATATAAATTTTAAGTGTATCAAATTTCACGTTCATCCGTTAACACAACTTTCTTGAAAAGGGGTACAACATTTTCGCTTCACGTATTAATATGTAGATAAGTGCGAAAACGCATTACCACGCATTTAATTAAAAAAACTATTTTCTATCATCAATCATCAATGTATAGCTTTATCTAGCTAAGTGTTACAGACAGGTATTATCGTTTTGACCATTATGTGTATACATTTGTCATTATATAAATGAATATTAGTCAGATTTAAAACGATATTTCTATATTGAAAATCATAATTCACTGGCTCTTATACTTATACTCCTAATACATATAATATGACTACGCTTTTCATAAAACATAAAAAATAGGTTAGTAAAATAATAACGTAAATGCTTACCCATATTTATAGGATAAAATGGCACACCATTTTCAGTGGCAAATAGTTTCATTTTACACGTAAATAATTGGATAAATGTAAATAACACTACACTATTATCTTATTATATGACACAGTATCACAGATCTTAAATAAAATACACACGATCACAAAACCATTCTGCACAATATAATATTTCATTAATTAGCAAACAGTAAGTAATGGAAAGACACGGTTAAGCAAGGCTGAATACGCGCCACTGAAATATTTATCAACCGAAAATGACTTGGCAATCAGGCCAAACAGCCGTCTAACCGTTGCAGCCCGCGACATCGAACTCGTCCAATCACAATGACTCAGCATACCGATCACTTTTGAATATAGCAGTATTTTCTTATTCCCCAGTAGGTTGGTTGAAAATATGGTTCAAAAAGCTAACAATAGATCTAGTAGTAGCGGAATAATTACTTGAAGGTATTGTAAAGGCGGATCATTTGATTGAAAAATATTTGTAAAATTAAAGTATTTACAGCTAAATAATTTATTATTATATTTTTTTAAATACGAAAGAAACTGAATCGCACATACCATATATAACACACACCTTTTAGTTGACAATTGAATTACTTTATTATTAAGACAAAATTTAAAATGCACTTTGTAAATTTCAACAAAAATTATTTCAGCGTTTGTACAAAATTGTGAGTCTTTATAAATATATTTCTGGAATGGCAATGATAGTTAATAGCATTTATTTTAACTGGAGTTTCAGCAAAAAAACCCTCGACAATTGTTTATTTTATACCTACTTGGGAGGTATAAAATAATAATAGGAAAAAAGTTTTAAACGATGTCTACTTTGAGTTGTTTACTCCGAGTAAAGTGTCACAAGGATTAAATTATACTAACATGAAAGGAATTAAAATACTGAAATAAGATTTATGTAAATAATAAGTTTAGACACAGTTATTAAGGTGAATATCTAGAAGTTATTCAACAATAGTAAGTTTTTTTTATTGGTGTACAACACAAATCATAGCTATGAAGTATAGATTTATTAGTATTGCAATTATGTTTATTAATGATCCTTATTCGATCCTATGAAACGCGTGTCAAACAAATAGTTTTGTATTATTTTTTATGAATAGCATCACACCGAACATCCGATGCGAGTGCGAGATGATCGCGCCTACGCTACACGGTTCTGAGGGCCTAGTGTGAGTTTATTTCACATGATGTTCACTGTTTTAACAGCTTTATCAGTCTCATCTATATCAATCATCTAGGTGTACTAGTATGGCCCGCACTGAAATCTTCACTAATCACAACGCAGAACGCGCTCTCCGTCGTGGACGAGTTGATGTGAAAAAACTTGCACTGCCCCTCTGATCGAATGGTCAGGGTAAACACGCCTACGCGGCGCTCGCAGGGTCTTTCACTTTCAGGCTAGCAGCGATATCTGAAGGCACATGCTAGTACTGAGATCATTGATATAGATAAGACTGACAAAGCTGTCAAAACGGCGAAATAAATAGTGTCAAACTGTTCTCCACTAGTTTCTGCCGCTATATGTCGGTTCATACAAATACGTGTGTGAGCCTTCGATCAATAATAGTACTATTATTGATCGAAGGTGTGAGCAGCTGTGTTGTACATGTTTACAATCACATATTATGTTATGTTTGGAAATTGCGATTTTAAACATCGAAGAGTCGCTCATAATCAACAATACATTTTATATTGTATTAATTCCAGCAAAATTGGTTTCCCGTTTTGTGTTTGAAGGATGTTAGTTTTTGGCGCTTTAAACTCCAATATAAAATCTGACCTTGTATGTGAATACATATAAGCTGATGTTATCATTTTTATTCATAGGAGGTACTTCAAAGAAGCTGGCAGATAAATACCTAACACCATCCAAGAAGGCACCACGAAGTACCCAGTCGTAGCCAATGTTCCACAAAAGTGGTCCTAACATCGACCCCTGCGGAATACCGCACGACATTTCACGTCTATCGAGACCGGTCTTACTTGGGTAGGCGAATGGAGGTACTTCAAAGAAGCTGGGAGATAGATACCTAACAAATAAATTAAATAGTGTCAAAACTGATACCATATTCCGACCAAAAGTATTTGGATAATTATAGATTCAAAGAGAAAATAAAGAGTTGTTAAATAATTATTGACTGTTTTATTTTACTTCACTACTATTCATCATGGAAAAATTTAAGATTTTCGTATGATGTCTATGTTAAAAAAGTAACGCGCATCCATTTCGAAACGAAGAACTTCTCGACAAAGTAAGAAAATGACGACTAGAAAGGTGTGTAATTATATTTATCTTTATTTCGGTAGGAGTCATGATAAACATTTGGCATTAAAACACACTAGCTGACCCGCGCGGATTCGACCGAGTGAACTTTGTGCAAAACCTAACAGTATAGATGGCGTCACCTATTTACCAAATATTGATGGTGATTGGTGGTTTTTTTCCATGAGATAAGGTATTTTGCCGCTGTAAAAAGTAGTCTATGTGTTATTCTAGGTCATATTCTATTTGTGAACTAAATCTCATTCAAATCTGTCCTGGCGTTTTAGAGTGAAGAATTAACAAACATACACACAGACACATACGCACACGAACTTTCGTATTTACAATATTAGTGAGACTAGTCCGTAAATAATTAAAATATAATCTTTTCCGCACTTGGGTAAAAAAGAAAGTAAATACCTATAAAGTATCATTGCAAGGCTTCTCGGTAAACTATATTTGGTGTACTATTAAACCAAAATAAATTGAACATCGCAGCGCGCGCAAACGGTTCGTGTATAGCATTTTTATCCTCATGATAACTTCCAAATTAAATGTTCATTACTAAATGATATCTGCTTAACGAATAGACCAATTTTAATGATGTAGGTAAAGAAAAAAAAATCTACTTGAAATTATCTCGATCTTTAATTTCATAAGGATTCATATAATCACACGAAAAAATGCATCTAAGGTCCTACAAATTATTAGCACATTAATTCGTCTTATCTTTAACCATTTAAGCAGCGCATCCAAAGAAGAATAAATTTTTGAGACGATGTTTTACACCTTGGTTAATATAACCCGTTTTTATTTGCACATGTCTAAGTTTTTTAGAAATAAATTATATCCTATGTTACTTTCTGTTTTGTAGCTTTCTATTAGTAAAAAAATGATAAAATCGGTCCAGTAGTATTGGAGCCTATTCGATACAAAGAAAAATACAAAAAATCTTTCCTCTTTATAATATTAGTATAGACTAGCAAAGTAGAACGACGTTTTCGACACCAATCTTCATTTCTCTTGTATCTCCGTGATCATAATGAAAAAAACAATGCATGGGAAGAAATTGCCAGTTTTATTAAGTAAGTTGGTATCTATTAACTGTGTCTGAAAATTGCAATTTTGGCGATGCATTGCGTGTTGGTACTATTTACAGGTTGCACTTAAGGTTGTACACTTGCCTTTGTATAGTACCGCGCGTTTCAATAGTATGTAGGCGCCCATAAGGACACAAGTAATTACGTTTTTCTCAAATGTAGGTGCTTACCATTCTGTATATCAAAATACGAGTTCTTAGGAACACCATACACAAAATATTTAATCCATCACTGTTGGAATTTTTCAAGAATAAGAAATCTATTTTTGGACAATTTTTTTGGTTAGTTTATGAAGCGTCTATGGTAAGGAGGTAAGGCAGAAGGAATATTTATTCTTGTGCTTGCACCTCTCGGGAACTTGCTTACTTTGTTCTTTTATTAATATAAGCATACTTTAAAAAGCTTGATAAACAACAAAAACCTCCACATAATTCGAACCCAGTTTCAATCATCAGATTAGCGTTATCCAATTTCCGGCATCCTACGCCTGATAACTTATCTAGATAAGAAAATTGAACTCAATGCTCTCACTATTAATTATAAGATCAAAACGGTATTATTAGCAAAGTTATTTGTAACTATATCAATGAGGATATCTTAGTATCCGAGATCAGCAAAACGATTTAAAGTGCAAAACGAACAATAAAAGAAAGAAAGAGATACGTGAAAGAGTTCTAGTATCTAGTTTTCAAGGGTAGTTGGTAGTAGGTAGTTGCCCTATTGTATACTTTATATAATGATAAATTGGATACTTTATACAATAATAATCTCTGAGGCACCACTGGCAAAGGTAAAATATAATTTAAAAAAAAATTAAATCATAGACAGAAGTTACAATTATTAAAAAAAATATCGATGGCATATAATGTATTATTTACAGTCGTATAGTTGAAGTATTGTAAATCGGTCATTTTTCGGACTGAGAACCCATGGAGCATTTGATTCAGACGTATAAAAATTGGCAAACAAACAAATCGCATTTACGAATTTCAGTAAAATAAATTTCGTGAATTTTAATAATAGACATTACAATTCTTAGGTATTATGCAAATTCGGTATTTTGAAAATCGGCATAAAATATTTCGGATTATTTGGGTGTTCCCGAGTTAGCATAATAAAAAGTTTTTAAAATAATAGTATAATAATAAAATAATTCAAAAGACACTAACAAGAAATGCAATGAGATTAAGGGATTAACCGATGAGTATGATATCCGTTTGGTACCATTCAAATTTGAAGAAAAAATACGGGTGGTATTTAAGGGAGGAAAATTAAGGAATAAAAAGTTGTCTTGTAGTGGTAAATGTCTTGTAGGTATTTGGCGGTCTATCAAAGGAGTTGAAGGTCTGCATTACCATATTACACATAAAAATATGGTAATGCAAAGACAGTAGTGCGGTAGTAGTTAGTGTGGTTGGAACAGCATCTACTATAGAAAATAGGTAAGGCGTGAAAATATTCAGCTATCTCAAAAAAGAAGGTAGGTATACAAAGAAACCATCAGTAGCTTATTTGGATTTATTTATGCTGATGCAGTCTGTACCTATATCCTATTTGGAAGGACAATTTTAACTTTTTTTTTTTAACTTTGACTTATTGCTTTTGAAAACTTTATAATATCCAAACAATCCAAAGAAACCAATAAAATATACCATCCTTTTTACTTACTCCAATTTTTTTTTTATAAAATTATTCATAGTGTAATAGATATTCATTAAAAGAATCAATAAATACGTAATCATCATCATCATCAGCCTATCGCAGTCCACTGCTGGACATAGGCCTCTCCCATTGCACCCCACTTAGATCGATTTTGGGCTTCTCGTATCCAGCTCCTGCCAGCCATCTTGCGCAAATCGTCACTCCACCTGGCCTGTGGGCGTCCTACACTACGTTTACCGAGACGCGGTCTCCACTCAAGAAGTCGTTTTCCCCAACGGTTGTCGGTTCTGCGGCTAATATGGCCAGCCCACTGCCACTTCAGCTTGCTGATCCGGTAGGCTATGTCGGTGACCTTGGTTCTCTGCCGGATCACCTCATTTCTGATGCGATCCCTTAGAGAAACACCGAGCATAGCCCTTTCCATAGCACGTTGAGCGACTTTGAACTTTTGGAAACGAAATGTGGAAATACGTAAATAACATACCTATTACCTAACTTTTAAAATGTAGAAAAAAAATAGTAATTATGTAGTTTCCGACGAACTTCTATATGGTCGGATCATTTGCGATGTAAATGTGTTAACCTTATTACGTTGATTACTTAATATCTATGTATCTTCATAAAAACCTAGGATTTTAGATCTTTTTTTAATTTAACCTAGGGTTACCATAAAAGAGTTACCATATTTACCATAGAGAGGTTACCATAAAAGTCACTACCCCAGTTCATCCCGTGGGTGTCGTAAGAGTCGACTAAGGGCGCAAAACAACGCAGGACACCAGCACTGCAAAAAGAAGGAAAACTTGTCACAAACCCTATACCAACCCGTCTGGCCAGCGTGGTATAGTAGGCCAAAACCTCCTTTCTAAGGAGAGGCCTATGTTCAGCAGTGGACTATTACAGGCTGATGATGTGATGATGTGACCATAAAAGAAGATGAAGAGTAATATCATTTTTCACATGAACTTCTAAATTATTATTTCTTATTTGAATATTCAGAATTTTATATTGTGTCTTGTAAGTAGGTTTTACCTAGGTAATTTTTGTTTCTAATTAACCTTGGCAATTTTTATAATGTTTCATGTCATGTTTCTTCAAGTCAAGTCAAGTTTTCCTTTTATAAATTTGGACAAAATGGTGCAAATATAAATTAATATATTTATTTCCAGGAAATGAGAAACCCTTTTGTCATTAGAAGTTAAATTTTTTATTTCAATTATTTTTACATCTCAAGCCTATTCAAGTTGTTATTTGTATTGTATTTATGAGTATTGTCTCTCAAATTAATGAATTTCATCATTTATCGAATTGATGGTCAAATAAATAAATTCTCTAACTACTAAATATGTTTATTTTGTAAATAAGTTTTTTAATTCTTCAATAATAAATAAAATGGTTTAGTTTGATTTCATTAATTATAAATTTCCAGTAACATCAAATGCCAACAGAACCTGTATAATTACTCTGTATACTCTGTATAATTACACCGGCCACATCTATGACATATGACTGCTAAACTAATTGAAATAAGGGTTAAGCCGGATGTTGTTAAAACTGTATCTGTATATGTGTAAAATTGTATCGAAATTAAGTAATATGATTTCTAAACTCATTAAAATTAGGATAAAAATAACTTAATCAAAATGGAAATTCATAACCACATGGTATCCAAAGGGCGATTTCCGCACGAACAAAAGGGCGGCTTCATCGGTTTTGCACGAGAGCGCTCGAACAGCTAGCGGTAATCACGGTTGATTTGCTGTCATTTTCTAGATTGTCTATCTCCAAAACTCGTCATCAGATCTTTATGAAATTTTATTGGAACTATTTCAGTATAAACCCCTTTTGAACAGAAAAAGAATCTTTAAATCTGTCCATATATCCACAGAGTTATGTATGCATAAAAAAAATATATTCATCCGAATTGATAACAACGACAATTGACGGTCCAGCCGGTTTGAAGCTTACCCGGAACAAACAGACAAAAAATATTTAACTGGTTTTTAGGCATAGGTCTCGTGCAAATAATCTTATGAGCATAAAAAAAATCAATTTTTTGATATTACAAACAGACACTTTTGTATAGATAATTTGTATAGATAAACTTTTGACATCATAGTAGTTTGTATAAAGGAGGTACGCTACACCATAAGTAGCAGGTTTTACCGCTCAAGTTAAACATTTGTGTGCATGAACATTTAGGCAATGTATAATATGTATGTATTTACAAAAAAAGTTCTTATGTATTTATATTATATCAGTTCAAGCTCTGCTTAGTTAGAGACTAGATGGATTATGTTATTTATGTTTTTGGTTTAGAAACCTAACACCACCCCATATAAGTATCCAGAATTACTATTATTACATTGGCTATCAGCTAGCAAAGGTCTCATGGAAATTAAGATAGTTGTTTAAGAGGATGGCCAGAACAGACAAAAAAGAACTAATTGTTTTCTTTAAGATTTGTTACCATTGAGATGCATTAAGTCACAAGCTTTTATTATGATATAACAAGTCCAATAATTTATATACAATCATTTATTTACAAGAGATATGATACAGGTGTGTTGATACAACATAGCATTTAATCAAATGTCATTATTATGTTTAGGCCAGTACCCTACATTTGAAATATACATGTTGAATGACATGTTACCCTTGCATGCATCCATATTAATCTAAATTAATTTAATATTTTGGCTATGCTTGTATCTTATTATCACATAATAATTACAATGACACCAAAAACAGATTGTGTAGTAACAAAAAAGGCTCTTAAAATACACCTTCTTAAACACTACCTACTACCTAAAAAGTTTTGAATTGTTTCATTTGCAAGGCATTATAAAAACAAAAACATAATACTATTTTTACCTCTGATAATTTTCCTGTCGCCGTGTGGTTTAAGCGCGGCCAAATAAACACACTTGCTTTTTCTTTAGAAACGGGTATCAGATTTTAAATTTTTATTCTGAGAAAATTCAACTCATAATTTAAATCTTATTTCACACTTACTTTAATTATTATGCACTAACACAGATTACAGCACAAAATTATACGGTCACAAATTCTTTTAGTGGTATCAAATTGACGTTCAACTCAAAATATTCGGATTTTCTAAATTCTACTGAATATTATTTGTTAAAATTTGTACATTCCAGTCTTTACTCTTTTGACAGCTATTAACTTTGCTTTTGACATAGGGCTGCGGAAAATCGTGTGTTTCCGATACTTGGTGACGAACTAACGAGTTTTGTTCTCGATATAAATCATACTAAGGATCGAAAACAGGGCAGTCAACACATACATTTTAATTTTCAACTACATTTGACATTTTGATGCCACCAATATTTATAATGTTTTATGACATCCGTTGAAATTGTACTTAATTTTGTTCTATTTGTTTAATTAAATGTTAACTGTGTCTGTTCCATGTATACTGTCTACTGTCTACGTATTTAATGTCAGCGCGTAAGGTGCACTTATCGGAACATATTTTGAAATAAATTAAATTATTTTTCTGATATTACTTTACTTTTCGGTGGAAAAGATATTTGTTTTTATCAAAAGTTTATTATTTTTCTTAGTCCGGTCAATTTAGCCCTAAAAATAGTAGTGAAGCTTTTTTTCCAGGTCAAAGGTCACAAAAAATGGGTTTGTCAAGTTTTTTAGCAAAGCAGTAAGTTTTATTATGAAAATAGGTCAAAAAATTTTGTAGATCATTTCATTATCTAGAAAGATATCTCAATTCTTTTCTTCCTAAGAGGTGGCTCTTTTTTTGGCGTTTCTGAGAGATAACGATTCTAAAAGTTGAAAAAGTTATAGTCGAAAATATGCACAAGTTTCGGCACCACCTGTGAGGTAGTATTTTCCTCTGTAGGCCTATTCCACGGTCTATTGTGATCCTGTTTATTTGGAAACTATTGAACAATAAAAAATAATGATATTGAAAATGATGAAAGCAGTATAAAAAAAGGGGGCAAATTATTAGTCAGATTTATACTCGTCTAATACTTCTGCTTCCTCTTTTCTTGTTCGCGTCCAGCTTGCACCAGCCGTGAATTGTTTATAGCTAGACAGTGAACACAATACTGACTCCAATCGGAAAACAGGCTTGAACACCTGAACACCTCCTGAAAGACATCCACACTTATGTTTACACCTGTTTGCGTAACTTCACGGCACAAGCGTAGAGCGGTCATAAGACTCACTAATTTTTAAACTGTTAATATTGACAGTCCGATTAGTAAAGTCCCAAGATGCTGCTCATTTTAATTTCAAATAATAATAGAGTGCATGCTATGATAGTTAGACTGCTGATAAGCATAACAATGTATATTTCTAAATACGTACATTTTATGTAGAAATTCCACAAAGACGCAGAACAAAATGATCGTGATCATCACACAATTACTTGTCCTGGATGGGAATTCAACCCACGACCTTCGGCTTAGCAGCCAAGGTCACTAACCACTAGACTATCATAATTAATCGCATTTACTTTGAGACGAAACTTAAATTGGTTTAAGCAAAGGAAAAAACATTTTTGGTAAGAAATACTGTTCTCGTTTACCATATTATATAAACTGACTGAGCTAAGAACTCAAGTGTTGTATCCTGTATTGTTTATATTAATGATCATTATATTTTTTAATCATAATCATTTTTCACGTTTTACCTACTTCTATAAATCTGTATTAGAAATGTCTGGGTCTATTTTCTTGGTCTTACTTTGGTCTAGTCTATGGCTAAAAAAAAAAACTTATAAATTCGATAATGGCAGACGCTAAGCAGGGTAAGTTTCTTCATTTTACACAATTTCTAAGCGTTGTCATATGAAAATAAATGGTTATTCTGCAAACTAATTAAATGAGGAAACTGTTATATATGTTATAAATCATTGAACTAAGTAACTGCGTTCTTCTCAAGTTGTCCATGCTGCTTCGTCAACGGGTTCCTTTTTGTATGACTATCCCTCTTAAATATTTTAATAAGATCTATTTAGGAGTAGTGGCAAGCTATTTCAGAGTTATCACGCCATATATATATTGCCTGTCCTAATGGAATTCGCGTATTCCTCAAATACTAATGCAGTATTTGAAGTACGTACTTGTTTTCTTGGTGTTGGTTTCTACGCGTTTAGTTTACTTTGTGTGAAAACAGCACAAACAGAGGTAGTTTAAGAGTTCATTAAATTGAAATAAGATTAAAACATGTACCGATTTCATTATAAAGTACTGTATTGACTTTTGATTTACCTTGGGGTTTCCATAATTGATACACAAATCCTATTTATTACACTTTACGCCATGTAAATATTTTTCTTAAATTAGTTGTATTCTCATTTATATTTTGGACATAATAGTGATTTACCATTTGTGCATTATAAGGTAAATCCCCAATTGAAGATTTCTTTAATGGATCATCTCAATCAAGATCAGTCCTGGCTAAACCTAGACTTGGTGGTTTTGGCTCCTCAAGTTTTGCATCCAGTTCTAATAAAGGATCCTGTAGTCCATTTGGTAAGTTTGAGTAATAAATAATACATTCTTAATTGGTTGTGCAGTCTAAGTTCTAATTAGAAAGTCATAGTTGTATACTTTAATTTGCTAAATAACCTTACTTAAAAAACATAAAAGGTGCTAGTAAATAATACATATTTGAAACAATTTTAATATGTTATAAAAAATCCTTTTGTCTTTACAAATTTTGAAAACAGAACTTGGCATGGTGTGAGGCTAAAACAAGTGTCAAACTCTTTGGTGCTCATAAATGGTGGTCTGGATCTTTTTTCCGTTAAAACTAGTGTTTTACTTACAGGATCAATCTTGCGGCCATCTCAGTTAAAAAGTGGAGCTAATCCATTTTTAAAAGTCACAGATACATTTGGTCTCAGTGGTGCAAAAGCAAATGATAAAAAAGAAGAGACTCCAAATGATGACAGACTTAAAGAAAAAGAAGCTCAAGAGGCTGATGCACCGAAGTTTGTACCCCTAGGGTCTACAAATGTTACAAGAATATCAAATGCTCCAGGAGGACAATCTGCTCCCAGCTCGTCAGCAGGATTCGTATTTGGACAAAATTTAAGTGAAAGAGTTGAATTGAAAGAATCTGCAAACAATGGAGAGGCTTCATCTACTGAGGACACTATGTCTAATAAAAGCACTGAGTTATTATTCAGCAGTGCTGCTGCATCGGTTAAGGAAAACCAGGTAAAATATTTTCTTTTATATAAAAGGGTACAAATATGGTAATTAATTGTTCACACTGCTGTGTTATTGCACTGTAATAGTAAATTACCTAGGACACTTAACATGTGTTTGATAGGAAAAATTAAAATCAAAAAATTATGACAATAAGACTCATCATGTAGGATTGGCTAGAGAGAGCATGGCAGCTTCTCCTACCTGTTGACATTTACTAAGAAGCCCGCTATGATCAGACCCTTTTTTTTTAAGAAGTGCCAGGTCTTGCTGTGATGTTGCCAGGTGTTACCACAATGGTCAGTTGTGTTTTCATTTTGTATGTCGCTGCAGTGATGTTGTTATTATATAATAACTTTTGGCAGCGGCTCCGCCCGCGTGTGTCGGTTGTTGCGGTAAAAAATTGCCTATGTTACTTGCTGATAATGTAGCTTTCCATTGGTGAAAGAACATTTAAAATTGGTTTAGGCGTAAAAGCATAAGAAACAGCAAACAAACTCACTTTTACATTTATAAGTATGGATATACAGATTATATACAATTTTCTTTGGACAAGAAGATGTAAAATTGGATCAAATTTGTTAAATTATTTCAGGCACCATACAATGCTTTATGTTTAATTAATTGACTGACTAATTAATGATCTGAATTTCAGGAAGAGACCAACTCCAGTGATGTAACAAGCAGTAATGACGGATTGGCAGCTGCAGCAGCTGAATATGAACGGTCTCATGCTCGACCGCCACCACCTACAACTAACATTACAATCACCGGTGAAGAGGGAGAGATCAATGTATTGCAGGTGCTCACTTATTTTATTATATTTATTTAACTAAACAGTGAATTTTGCTGTAAATCTAAATGTGTTTGCATTAAGGTGGTCTTCTGCAAGAATAATTAATCTGAATGTTTAATTACCACTATGGACATAGTACTCTACTTTTTGTGAAAAAAATAACATTCGAAAAAATATACAATCACAAAGGTACAAGCAAATAAGTACAGTGAAACTTTGTACATTTCACAAAATTAAAGAAAACTCTTTCATTTTACAATGTGGGCATGTTTGTCCTTTTTTTTTTTCCGTGCGGAAATCCCCTCGGATACCACCTGTCGGTGGCATATCGGACTCGAACCGACTAAAACCGCACGCCGTCTCGGGTACTAATAGCCGGGGAACCAGGTGTACCCTAGAAAGGAAGTCCCTGGTGCAAGTGCATGTTTGTCCTAGATTAAAGTATCATACTTGAATCTATGAAGACAAGCATTACATGAAACTATCTCTTTCAGGGTGCATGCATATGAAATTTGGAATAACATACACACTAACAAGATAGTCCAACTTCTTAGTAATTTTCATTACTACAAAGTAACAAATTATTCATATTTTCTTTTCCTTAGTCTCCAAGTTTCCAAATGCATTTTTTTTGTGTCTGAGCTTTAGTAGTGTGTTATATATATTTACTTACCATAATCTCTAATAGTCTCTATTGTTACTTCACTTTAGATTTGTTTTATTACTTAGAGAAGGCATGTATTGGTGAAATCATTTTTGCCTTCACTTTAGTGTGGCAATATTTGATTCTACATATTGTGAATCGAATTAAAGTACGAATAACCCGCCCTGCACCTGGCAGCCTTCTGAATCATGGACCCGACAAATCGAGGCCACGATCCAATAGGGACTGTGCGGAATGGCCCGGCCTATTTAACTATTCTTATTTTATCTATATTTGATTTGCCGTAATCGATGTAAATTTACATTAGTGCCCACTAATGTAAATTTACTGTCCGTCTAACTCGTTAATATGAAGTGGACGTTTTCTATTGTCGTAACTTATTACCAGTTATGTAATCGAAATATCTGTAAACAAGTGGAGGCTTTAAAATGGAAGTCGTCGGTGGAAGTATAACACGCTTGCTAACCGAGAGCGGTCTGTGGCAGATATCGTGTCGTCTGTTCGCGTGGGAGGCGGGCAGCTGGCGCGAGCGCGGGCGTGGCGTGCTGCGGCTGAACGACGCGGAGACGGGCCGCGAGGGCGGCGCGCGGCTCGTGGCGCGCGTGTCGGGCTCGCTGCGCGTCGTGCTCAACACCAAGCTGTGGCCCGACATGGTGGTGGAGCGCGCCGGCACCAAGTCGCTGCGCATCACCGCCGCTGACGCGCTGCAGCAAGTCAAACTTTTCCTTATCATGGTAATGGAAACGATTATGAACGCTTTTGCTTTTAAGTTACCTAATCTTTGCGAGTACTGACCTTTATTTATAAAACAGTAAACGATGAATGAGAGCCTAGTGAGTAGCAGTAGTTTGAAATATTTCTTACAAGGTCATTGAGCGATTGCAGTGTATGCTGTCAATGATATTGTACATGCAAACCCTTTTATAAAAGTGTTCCTGACTGATAGGAAAAGCTAGTTCAAAGCTATTTAAGCTCTGCCACTTGTGAGCCTGGTGAGAGCCTATAACCTCATTTGGCAGTAAAAGAAATGAACCAAGAATTTGTAGTTTCCTCTTAACTGTCTGGTCTCAGAATAAAAAATAAGTTGTTTTAAATCCTCTATTTACAAGTTTGTAGTTTATTAAGAGATCTTTTAATAACAAGGTTCCTTGAAAAGTGAAAGTGAAGCACAAAATATATAATTAAATATCCCTGTTTACACTGTTCATCTTACAAGACAGTGTTGCGATTGATCCGCAGACTTTGCATTTGCCTTGACCTCAAACCTCCTGTGTCAATACAAAATAAACAGTAACTAACGGAAAAAATATAACTGTGATGTTAGATATTTTTTGTATGCTAATTATGCTAAAAATATATTTTTGGTTACATTTGATTTAAAGGAAAAAATAAAACCACGTTGCTGAGTCACCTTTAGATCAAAAACGTTATTTGTCAGATTCATATTCAAATAAGGGAATGTCTCAATTTACACTTGACATGATGTTAGCGAATAAGCAAAATCATACATGAGATGAAATACCATTCCATGAAATTTAGTTTAATTTGATTAGTATTATGGAAAGTGTTTCATCTTTTGTATGTAAACTATTAGTATTAGTACTATAGTCTTATAGGTATTAAAACTATTAGTCTTATAGGTATTTCTTTAGGGATTTTTTACCAATGTTTCTATGTACACAGGGGTCTCCGGGTGATATTGCACAGTTGCATAGAGCCTTAATGTCACGTATCTCAGTAAGCAAACGGACATGTTCAGTGTCAGCAAACACTGGAACTCAGAATGCGTCGTCTCAAAAGGCTGCCGAGCGACTTGAAGCCGACGTTGACGAGAATGACTATCTTGAGAAACAGGATAACAAGAGCGAGGTGAAACAGGCCGCTGCTGGTAGTGCTGTGGATGAAGACGTTGGAGACAGCGAGTCTTCTAACAATGACAGGCTACAAACTGACAATGTACACAAGACTGATCAACATGAATCAAATGTAGATGATATAAAGGAAGACAATGAAGCCAAGGCACTGAAACGAAAAGAGCCCGTCGGAGACGAATCTTCGCCCAAGAGACAGTGCCCTGAAATATTTATAGAGTGATATTCATAATTATGTTGTAAAAACTTTGTGATGTAAATGTGGACATGGTTCATTTTTTCAGCATTCGCTAAAAGCTCTGGGTTCAAATAGAAATCTTATGTAAATGTAACAAATAGATAATGTGTAGAAATATTTATGATTAAATTAATATAGCATTTTACAACATGTTGATTATTACTAATGGAGGTTCCATTTCTAATAATTAAAATTAACGCGACCGCACGCATTTGATGTATAATTTTGAGTACAAATTAAGAGATTGCTATTTGCTAAGTAACTACTCAAAATTGCTGATATCACATTCCAATCGTTGCAAATAGAAGCTAATGAGTTAATATGTACGGCCAGAGCTGATACCAAATACAAAACTGATGTGGTTTATTTTCTGATAGATTTTTAAATAAACTATTACACATTGGAACTCAAACTGTTATTCAAATATCCATTAACCTCTGTTTCCTTGAACGGTTTCCAAAGCAACTAAAATCATAATGCCAGCATCACGGTTCAATCGATTTTATGATAAATTAATTTAATCTTATGACAGTAGTTACACCGATGTAGGCAAAGCAATTAATTATAGACATGTAACAGATCAAAACTAGTGATTTAAGTGTGTAAACGTAAAATTAAACAAGAAATATTTAATTATGTTTTCCTGTTCAAAGTAATCATGTAATTTCATAAATATGTTAATATAGGTAACAATAATAATCACTTATCACACAATAATAATCATGTACAAAAAACGCAGTTCCACATATTTTTTCGTGCATGAATTAAAAATTAATTAAATTGAAATCTGACCATACAATTAATGTTTCTATAAATATATTCCGTAATAATTTAATACGAAAACTACAAAGAATAATATGAATGAGCATATTAGATTGTTTGTGGCAGGTATCTCTACTTTAGGGCACGCCTCTGGCGCCCTCAGAGGGTATTGGCGGTTAGAGTATAACGCGGTTACCGCACCGTTTCGACGAAGGCGGCTTGCGCGCTGGCCGGAACTCTCCCGTGCAGTGGCGGATTTACAAATTTGCCGCCAGTAGGCTATTAAAGTTTTGCCGCCCCTTCTAACCTCTGCAATTCAATACCCTTTTTGGAGTTTGCTCCTTAAGAATCGATTTTCGTATAAAAAATGGAATGCCCGTTATGAAAAAATATGAAGAGTAAAATTTAGTGATTAAATGACCAATTAAAACCATACGGTGTGCCACTCTTTGTCTAAAATAGGAGGAATTCGCGGTGGCGCTGTTACTTCCTCCGCGCGTGGTGATCGCCTGAACCACTTTACATTCTTCTCACAGACTTTTCCTAAAATAGACATCTTAAATATATATTTTTATTTGAAATATTAGTTAGGTACTTCTCATAGTTTCGCACTATTCTAAAACCAACACTGGCTACGCCCTTGACCGATATGCATTATCTAAAAACCGATTTAAACGAGCCAAAAGTTTGATGATGAGGACTTATGCCTAATAATGCCAATGCACAATTTACCGATGGCAGTAGCGATTAACCCTAAGGCGAAGAAGGCGCGAGGACACAGGTGCGCAGTAATTTTTAAGAAAAAAAAAATGCTTAACATAAAAAGAACTGTCAGTAAGTATGCACACACTTACACATTTACCACTATTTCTTTGCTTTAATTTTCTGATACTTAAGAAGATTGAGGCTAGTGTGTAAAAATGTAACAAAACAACTGCAGCTGTACCTAAAAGGTGGTCCAGCCGGTCAGCGTCTAGTAGGCAAGGTTGAAGCACGGTACCCTTTACTTCTAACTGACGCAGGTCTTTTCTTTGCGCGTCTGCTTAAGAAGTTTCCAGCAGTCGATCGCTAGGTGTGAATTAAGTTGTTGCACACTCGTCGGGCGCTCGTTGCAATCATCGGAGAGGATTTCTCGCTACCAGCCGTAACACGCTCCATGGCTGGCGCGCCTTCCAGCGCTCCATGCCGCCATGAGTCGGGTCTCAGGGTTTTCCCTTCCACTCGTTACCAAGGCCTACCGCGAGGTCCTCGTGTAGCGGACGTTTTTGAGAGTTTATCCCTGAAGGTGGTGCCCGCGCTATTAAAGGTCAGGCGCGAGCTGGTGTCAGTCTCGTGGCGGCGTGCGGTAAGGCGCACCGTGAGGATTCGGCGGCTGGGAATCGAGGTGTTTCTGCACATATCTGAGGCCTTGTACTTTCAAGAGCCTCGGACGGGACCACCTGAGGAATCTAGTCTCACAGTAGGAGGTATTAGCATCTGCATCGAGCCGCCGATGAGGTATCTGGGGCTCGTACTGGGTCGCGATCGCGGGATCTTGAGAAATCGAGGACCAGAAAGCCCAACTTTGTCGGGTCCTCATGGAGTAGTGGAGGTAAAGACTTGAGCAACCAAGGGCTAGAGCCTTTAGTGAGGTTAGGAGGAAACAAAGGACCCTCTCATAGCAGCTGACGCAGTAGATCACCTGTGTCTGATCCGCAAGGAACCAACGCCTGAGTGCCACCATTGCGGTGGTCATAGTGTGGATACGGCGCTCCACGTGCTGCTAGAATGCCCGGCGGGGTGTGGGTAGAGCAGAGGCGTGGCCTCGTGACGGCCTTCAGAGGCCCAGGAACGCGCCAGGTACTGCACGCGGCTCAGGCGGCGGAGGTCGCTGAATGACTTCCACCCTAAGCTGCATAAGCGCAGACCTGGGGGTGACAGGTGAGGCCATTTGTCACCAAAAAAAGAAAGGCCCGGACGTCTTAATAAAAGCTGTTATCGGATCCCTTATATTTCAGTCGCAGTGTGTGTACAAATATTAAAACTGACATTGGGTCTCTTAACCTGTCCTATAGGTATTTGCGCTTTATTGTATGAGGAAATTGCCACAATTAACGCATGACTCCCTAACATTAAGGTAGGTACCTATTTTGTGAGACACAGCGTACACCGCTCATTAACAAGTTATCGATGTAGTTGAGACGCTTACTTGGTTATATACAATAGGTAGGTTAAATAATTGAACATGTTGACCCTAACGTCTCTGTATGTTTCTGATTCCTTAATCGCTTGGTTCTGGTTTCTGCTTGTCAATCCCGCTAAATGTCATATCATTGTTGGTGGCAGGTACGCGTATAATAGTATTGGTCACACTTCACTACCTCCAGTGTCCTATAACAGGACTTATACCATATTCGACACAAGTTAAAAATCTCGGGGTTTTTATGGACTGCAATATGTCACATTACAGAAGTGAGTAGAAGGGTTTTGGAGCATTTTACTCTCTCAAACGCCTTCCTTCAAAATTTTCTTCCTTTTCAAACTAAAGTCCTCTCTCAATCCCTTCTTCTTCCCCTTCTTGACTATGCTGATGTTTCTTTTCTTGACGCTACCGAAGAACTTTAAGCTAGAACGGTTACAAAATCTCTGTATCCGCTTCATAATTGGCCTGAAAAAAATCAATCATGTTTCGGAATTTCGGAAACAAAAATTGGTTACCTATTCGGCGGCATTGAGATCCACATCCTTTCCTCACTCTTCTTTTTCTCTCGTCCTTCAACTCCTTCCCACACTTCGAGTATGTTGCGGCTGTTCGGCTATGTTATGCCTTACCGCATGCAATAGGCAATAGTCCTTCTCTAAGCGTGTTCAGAAAGAGAACCAGGGATTATATGTCCCTTCAATAATGAGAGCCTTAGTATGTGTGTATGGATGTCCCAAAAAAATCAGTCCCCTTTTTTCAAACGCATACCCTCTAATTTTATTTGAATGGTGTCACAACACTTGTAAATAAAATTTCATATGCCTAGAACTAAAGCAACCCGTGCGGACTTGCATCGGTACATCTCAGTACTTGCATGCTTTGGCGCGTTAGAGTTAACGTATCGAAGTGTTTGTTATTACTTGCTTGTTTTAATAGTAAACACATTTTCGTTTCGTCAAGATGAATGCAATGGCATTATATATTTCTACAAAAGCGATATTTTGATAGGTAAAATAAAACTACCCTCTAATGAAGAAGTGTTGATAGTTCTATTCTATAATATTCGTGAAGTTTGTTTAAGTGTCAATAAAAGTGTAAATCTCTTTGCGAGTGCATTCATTGTTAGGATGGCACGTATAACTAAATCTTTACCTAACTAAATTAAAAAAACTAGTTTTCTTATTCTAAGTTTGGAGAGATTTTCAAAAAAAGGAATAAAACACAAGACATATTCGAGAAGCGTTGACAACAGTTTGTTACTAACTTGGACAATTTGTTCGACATTGCACAAACCGATGCACTTCAACGAATAAAGGTAACTGAAGATAGGATCTTCTTGCAACGCCAGAGAGAGCCAGGAAGACCTGGTTACTTAGCTGGACTGAACAAAAAGTTGAAGGACAAAGAGAAAAAAGAACGTCTTTGAAACACAGAGGAACAAAAACGTGTGGCTAATTATTAAGCATCTCTAACTGGGTTGACGTCATCTTAGTAAGGAAATTGATCTTCTGTTTCAGAAGTGATGGATTGGATTAACAAAACCTCAACCGCGAGCGCTGAGTCCTATTAGTCCAGTCAATGAAAGCTTAACTTTGCCATTTTGAGTTGATGACCTGCAACCAACGCGAAAATTTCCGTAAGGGTTCGTAGATTAATATACTAAAATTGCAGGGTGCTGCATTGACGGCAAAGGGTGCAAAAAAATTGCAAAAACGACTTTTTCGTTTATATCTCGCGACTGGCTGGGAAAATAGAAAAAAATCCTTAAACAAAGTTGTAGAAAATTAAATTTCCTACAAAAAAGGTATCAACGTATTTTCGCGTATCTTCCATAGTTTTTGCAAAAAATGAATTTAAAGGTGCAAAATTTTTTTTTTTTTAATACATGATTGCACGGATGGCGTAGTGGTTAAAGCGGTCGCCACGCCGCTTTCTATTACGCCGAGTGTTGTGGGTTCAAACCCCACATGGACCAACACTTTGTGTGATCCACAAATTGTTGTTCTGAGTCTGGGTGTACTTTGTGTCCGTTTCATGTATG